CAAAGCGTCGAAAATGTTACTATTTTGAGCATATTAATTCAAGTCATAAACAATAAGAACTTCTTACATGAAATTTTCTTTGTAATACAACTGCATAAATGAATGTATCTCCATAAGAAAACGAAAAGAACAATGTTTTGTTCAAATTAATTTGTTATTACTGATTTAAAACAATAAAAAACAATCAATCTGTAAACAAAATTTTCATTTAAGCAATTTTATTTTTTGTAAACATGTGTTATGAGATGTTTTTGTAAATAATATTTAATAAACAATTGGTATAAAATAGCTTGATTTATTTTTCAATTATATTACATATTGGTTCAATGTTGTGTTTTTTGTTGCTTCGCTACATTTTTCTAATTCTTTTTAACCTAGATTTCTAAAAAGTAGTGTTTGAAACTGCTCATTGTTATACACGAATACGAAATAATGCACAATAGCAATGCACAAAAAATAACGTTTAAAATAATAACGATATTATTCGTTCGCAAACGTCAATCCATTCATTTGTAATAAAATTGCTGATTCTTTATTTTTTTTTAAAAATTAATTTTCAAAAAAATAACAAATAAAACGAAATCGTTCGGAAGTTTAAAAAGAAAATATAATTTACTGAAATATTAAATAATGCATAAAAATTTCTAAGACATAAGAGAAATATATATAATAACGGGTAAGTATTCAAAAAAAAATTATTATTGATCAAAGAAATACCTAAAAAAAGAAGATTTAAATGGATACCTCATAAAAACATTTTAGGAAGTTCAAAAAAAATAATACTTTAAAACTTTGAATATTATTAAACAGCATTAAAAACTAACAAAAATATTTATATATAAACTTTTTTTTTCATGCAAAAAACAAATTTTTATATTATTTTCAATGAAATATTATATAACAACGTCAAAATAATATGGCGTGGATTTATTACTTCTTTGTATTTTTATAGTCATATTTGTAACGGAGGTGTGAAGGTATCAAAAAAGAGAAGGAGACGTAATTATCCCGATGTAGCCTATATCAGCGATATACCCAAATAGGGTTCCGTCCAAGTGTCGTAGTGGTTCCAAGAGTTTAAATTTTTTAAATCAGTGATATAGCCACTACGCTGACCTCGAGGTGACAACTTGAGAATTATATGCCCATTTTTATAAAATGTAAATTAGAAAGTATTTTTCAGATTTATTTCAGTGGATTACAGGAAGCATACTTGCTCAGGATATTATTCTAGCCTGATACGTAACTGTGGAATTTCAATCAATTATTATCATTGACTGCGCCAGCAAAATATACACTAAAACGCTATCTATTAAGTATATCAGATTTTCATTAGGATATAACAGGGGTAGGCAACGCGGCGTCCGCGGGCGCCATGGCGCCCCCGATCGATTTTTAATGCGCCCTCGCAGGACTAATGTAAATGTATGACAGGATTCTTTATTCCCGAAATTTATTTCTTATCATTGCCTCATACATCAGGAAATGTTATGCGCAAAAACAATCGGTTTTCAACACGTATTTACGATAGTAACAAAAATTATTAATTCCATAAAATCGGGAGCTATGCAACACTGATTGTTTAAATGACTTTCAGAAGATGAGGACGTTCAGTTCACAGATCTTCTTTTACATACTGAAGTGAGGTGGCTGAGCAGAGGTAAAATACTTGAGCGGTTTATCATGCTTTTACCACAAATAAAGGAATTTATTGCATCAAGAGGCGAATTTTACGAGCAATTAGAAAATAAGGATTGGCTAATTGACCTCGTATTTCTTACAGATATAACGGCAAAGTTGAATGAATTAAATTTAAAAATACAAGGGAAAAATCAGCATATCGCTGACATGATTAGTGCAGTAAATGCATTCAAATGCCAGTTAGTGTTGTTGAAATCCCATCTATTGAAAAAATCATTATCACATTTTCCAAATATAAAATATACTGTTGAGAATTTAAATTGAATAATGAAACTTTTACTGCGACATCATATTTAGAAATTATAGATAAGCTAATAGAAGAGTTTTCTTCTAGATTTGAACATTTTGCAGCACTAGAACCCGTTCTAAGATTTTTCATAAATCCATTCAATGTTACTGAAGATGATGTCCTTGAAATAGTTTCAGTGTATTTTCGAGCTTCATAATATCGAAGACCTAGAATTAGAAATAATAAACTTGCAAAGTGATATTATTTTAAAAGCGCATAGTAATGATAAAATGTTTTGGAGCTTAGTCGATGAAAATAAGAATCCTATTTTAAGGAAATGTGCGCTAAAAATTTATTCATATTGTGCAACAACATACAATTGCGAGTCTTAGTTCTCAAATATGAAATACATTTGAAATCGAAATACAGAACAAAGCTGAATGACTCACATTTAGATAATTATTTAAGGACCTGGAACTCTAAATATATCCCCAATTATAAGAAATTAGCTGAAAATATAGACACACAAGTTTCACACTGAATTATATGTATCATTATGTATGACACCAACAAAATGAAATCTGTTTTTTTTTTAATGCCTATTTATACCTGTTGATTATCTGTAAAATGTGCGGCCTCGGTGATTTTCAAATTTAGTATTGCGCCCTTAAGGACAAACAGGTTGCCGACCCCTGGGATATAATATCGTTGGTATATTTTATGCTTATAAGTATTTAAAGTACAATTTTTAAGGTTGCATTAGTTTTTTTTTTTTTAATGCACGGTTCTTGACTTATTACGAGTAATTATAATTTCTAAATTATTTGTGTAATTATAAATACGTTTGCTAGAATCCGTTTACTCCAATATTTGAAAGAACAAATAGTGTTATAAATGAAAAAGTGTCAAGTTTAAAAATCGGTACATATTTGTTTTATTTAATAGTGTAACAGATTCAAAACTCATTTTCGACACTGTTTTATATTTAAACTACTGAAGTCAGTTGCTTGTTTCTCACATTAGGTTCATTTTATAATGTATTACCAAATGGAGAATAACTTTATTTTTATTTTATAACCGTCGTTGAACAGCCGACCCGATTTCGGGGTTATGACTACTAATCCTCAACTCCGCAGCTTTGTAATTTTGAACCCAATCCAGAAGACAATGGATCTCCTGGATCAAGTATTTGAAGAAATTTGCGTTCGTGGAGGACTTTTTGAATGGAAATAACCCGCATATGCATTACATGGAGGGGAAAACCACGAAAACCTCCCACGGTTAGCCTACTGGCAAGGGGACTCTAACCCATTATCCGACTACCACTGAGGATATTTTACGTCACGCACTGGGGTCAGTGCAAGCTGGGTGCGGAATTCGTATCAACCAGCAATGGCTGATAGGATTCGAACCTGGTTTCCCGCTTTGGAAGGGGAACGTTCTCTCCCCTGAGCCTCCATGGCTCTGGTAGACTAATTTTTTACTTTATTTTATAACCGTTGTTGAACAGCCAATCCAATTTTTTGGGCTTACGACTGCTAATGCTCAAATCCGTAGCTTTGTAATTTTGAACCCAATCCAGAAAACAAAGGAACTCCTGCATCAAGTATTGGGAAAAATTTGAATTCGTGGACGACTTTTTTGATAGAACTAACCCGTTACATGCAGATGAAAACCCCAAAAACCTCCCATGGTAAGCCCGACGGCTAGGGGAATCTCTACGGTACCCTAGTAATACACTTTTTTTTCGCCAGTGAGAAATAAATTTTTCTCGCAAAGTAGAAATATGTATCTTGGCTTGATGATTTTTTCACTTCATTTAGTTTTAGGGAACGTTATTTAGTTTTCGTATATAATTAATTAATCAAATCAGTGTTTCCTTTATTGCATATATTGTATCGAAAAAAAATTTCTAACACTTTTACCGCTGCCTGCGTTTACAAAATAAAAATAAACAAGAGGGAATTTAATTAGCATATCAGATTTTAATTGGAATATAATACCGTTAGTAGCTATTTGATATTTAAATTAGAATTTGTGGTGATGAAATATTTTTTTAATGCAGAGCTTTTTTGTTTTGTTTTTTTAAGAATCAATTTTTAAATTGTTTACGTTAATACAAATATCTTTAAATTCGCTTGTTTCAGATATTTAAAACGTTAAATTGTTTCAATTTTATTCTTTGAATTGAAAAATGTAAAAGAAAACTCTAGCTATGAAACGCTGGTGGGTTGTTTCATTATTATTAATATTAAAACTGTCTTATAATCAAAATACTCATATATATTAGATTATTTTCAGAAAAAAAAATTTCAAAAAATTATTTAGTCCAAAACAGTGCGGCGTAAATGTCCGGAGCATATGTTGAGTTAGATTATGGACAGTTTTTTAATTTTCTATAAATGTTTAGAACAAGAGATTCGTTATAAACCGATTGTTTTAAGCCAGATTGTTTTTCTAAAATAGACAAAAAGTTAAAAAACTTATTTGGTCTAAATCAGGTGAAGTCCAAGGTACATTTTGCGAATTTTTAATTCTTTTTTCATTTCACGAGGCATGCATTTTAAACTGCTTTTATATTAATTTATGACTTCTTCCATTGCACATAATATTTTGCTCTAAGTAACCTTTCTAAACTTAAAAAGTTTGCTTAGTGTTCTACAAAAAAAGGAAACTCAACATCTGAAAATACGTCGATTGCCCGGATTTACTGCTTTTTACGCAAAATGAACACACTTTGAAACAAGTCGAAAATTCTAGCGGTTTCATTTTGTTTCGCACATCACAGCAACTTCAATTCCTCCGAATAGACCTATCAAGACGCATTGAATCGTAAAATAATCCTTAAAAAATTAATCAAAATTATCCGTAATACTTCGTAATATTTTCAGTCATAAGCCAATAATAAGCTATTGTAACTGATATAATACATAAACTTTTAAAATTCAAGCACTTTTACCTCACGGTTTGTCGTAAAATCAATCAATTGAGAAATATTACACCATTACCGAGAAATAAACATTATTAAACGAAAAAAGAGGGGATAAATTGGTATAAAATAATACTGAAATCTTTTTTAGCAGCACTTTATTATTATTCCTTTAGTCAAATGTGATGAGTGTCTGAAACACAAAATGACTACGATGAGATATCTGGTAAGAATATATTTTATATTATGCTAACGGAATAAATTGATGCAAATTGCTTTAATATATTTTATAATATGCCAATTCGCTAGCTAACTCTTATCATTAGTTCGCAACTATTTTATTATTTTTTTTTGCAATAAATTACATTGTATACATACATATAATAATACACAGTAAAAAGAAAAATACAATTTTTCTTTTACAATGTTGCATCAAAAATTTAAAATTTAAAGGTTTATTAAATTTTATTTCATTTGAAACCGATTTGGCTCCCCTTATTTAGTTTCCCATTTGATTGTGATAAAATTTTAGCTATATCATATTGTTCGCTTATCATCGCATCTTCATCTACAATTTGTTTATTATAAATTTTTTCTGTTTAATTTTTGTTATCTATAAAAACGTTAAATTATTATCCTTCGTTGAGATAAACGATTTGTTGCGTCAAAATTAAAAATTATTCAAATAAAAGATCTTAAAATTTTTTACTATGTTAACACTGATTTGGTTCACCAAATTTAGTTTCCCATTTGACTTTTGCTCAGTTACCATTGTAATTTTATATACAAGTGTGTTTGTTTTTAAGATTTATTTAATTTTTGGTTATTATAAAAAGTCCTTAAACGTTTTTTGCCCAAGATTATTTAATTATAGAGCGAAAAGTTAAATAAAAATAACATTTTGCATTTTCGTAGTAATTTATTACACAGTTTTAAGCGAAATTAATTATAAAAGTAAATATATAACTCATTTACTGTTTAATAATTGTAAAATAGTCTATTAGATAGTGTTATAAATATATTTATCGTAAAATGATGTAAATATATTTATAAAATATAAAATATATTTATCGTAATAAGAAAAAAAGGGGAGCTATTTTCTATTAAAAGAATGCCGCTATTAATTTTGAGCCCTTTAATATTGAATAATAAAATTAATCTCAGTAAAAAGGGATGAAATAAGTGTTGCAGAAGAACACCTTAAATAAAGAATAAATGAATATTTTATAGGAATAAAAATACCGAATTTTGTTAATCAAAGAATCATAATTGACATGTGATCATAAATCATAACTTACTTACGGGTGATTAGAGCCTGCGTGTAAAGGAACTTATTATATTTACCAAATGATTTTCAGGCTAACCAGTTCCTACAGCAATAAATAATATAGTCTTAGACAATTTTGTTTTTATGTTATAAAGAATGCTCCTTTTAGGCGAAGAATAATGGTTTTAGACCACTATGTTTTTTATGTTATAAAGAATGCTCCTACGATAATGAATAATGGTTTTTGACTACTATGTTTTTATGTTATAAAGAATGCTCCTACGACAATGAATAATGGTTTTTGACTACTATGTTTTTATGTTATATAGAAGCTTCTACGAAAATGAATAATGGATTTAGTCCACTATGTTTTTATGTTACAAAGAATGCTCCTACGAAAATGAATTATGGTTTTTGATCACCATGTTTTTATGGTATATAGATATCATATTGTTATTTCCATTACTGTTAAATTTTTTACTAACGCTAAAATTACTTAAACCTTATTAGCATTCACCTCATTAGAACAATACTAAACAACAGTTAGAAACAGTAAATAAAAGGGGTAGGGTTGATTCATGATGATTAAATATAATTTAACATATTTCTTTCACCATAGAAATTTAAGAACTTTAATCGCTTTACTTTTTTATCTAATTTCGGTTTGAATTTATTGTTAGCTTTTCGGTTTTAATTAATTTTGGTTTCATTTCTTATGATAAACGCTTTAATGAAACTAAGTTTATAGAATATAATTTGTCACATAAAAGGGTCTTAATATTATGTTTACTACCATTTCTGACCTAATATTTAAAATGAAAAAGACTAGCCATTGTTGAAAAAAATACTTAAAAACAAACCCTTCGCCTTGAAGACTTTTTTTAGGGATTTCAAAAAAAATTTATTTTAAATTGAAATTTCAAAAGTCGAAAGATAAAATGGAATGAGTGTCTCGTTAAAGCTTTCGCGCAATAATATGTTTCGCTCAAACAGACTTCAGTTCTTGAAATAAAGAATTTATTGTGAAGGTTCCTTGGAGCAGTATTATTCTTATCCTCTAATGACGAAATATATGAAAACTTTTTAGTCATACTTTCTGTAAACATAAATTCTGTTTATAAATTCTGTTCATTCATTTCTGTTCATAAATTATGTTAACCCTCTCACTAATACTTTTTTTTAAAACAAAATAGGTTCAAAAATTCCGTTTCATTTGTCACATATTTCAACTCAGATGATAATTCTAAAAATAGCACAGCTTTGGAATCCTTTTACAATTTTCCATTTTAAGTGCGTGCTGTTTAACAAAATAAGGCATTTTTCTGATACTAAATTGTACTATAATAATATGTTATGAATTGTGCTGAAGTAAAAAAATAATTTTAACGAAAGTAAATTTTTCAACATCTTTTTGTTAAAAAGAGCACCTTTCTCAAAGTTAACGGTTTTAATGTACATGTTTTAACGTTAAAAGGAAATTGCGGTTTGAATTTGTTCACTTAAAAAACAAAGCAAACAGTNTGCTTTATTTTGATACCTTCTACTTTTTTTTTTTTTTTTTTTTTTTTAGTTAAGTTGCACTAGTATATATTTAATTTTCACAAATCAAACAAATAAGAAACAATAAAGTAAGTAAGTAAATAATTTGCTTATGTAATCTAAGCGAAAAGGGGGGCACTTACTTAATGCAGTTTGTCGGACGTTTTGCACTGAGTAATTTTAATATAACAAAATGTTCTTAAATTCTTATAAATTATCAACTGTGGTTTTTAATAATAAATACTTCAGTGTTATTCCATAGATGGCAGCACCATTTGAATGAAATGGAATCTTATGTGAAGAATGAGTTCAAAAACTATAACTTTTTATTATTATTATTATTATTCCTTCATCCAAATTATGGATACGAATTTTAACATACTTAACTTACTTAGTAATGAATGAAAGAAACTAATAATTTAATTTAATGATTTCTATGCCACTTTCTTTCTTTTATAAATCCCCTCCTCCAAATTTAAGTATTATACATGAAGAAATAACTAAATAAATAAAATAATTTTTCATTAAATAAAGAAAGAATACAGATTTTTAATAACGTTATTTTTAACAGAAAAATTTTCTGCAATTCTATCTCCGCACAATTTTTTTTCTATTAAAAAAACAAAGAAGAGAAGCTTAATTTTAAAAGATTGTGATGTGGTTCCCTTTATATAGGGCCCCCTTGACCGTTGGTGCCCGACTACCTCGACGTAGTTATGGCCCTGCATTCAGTGATAACGCAATTAGTTTTTCCTGGAGTTCTTAAATTATTAATAATAAACACTTCATCATTATTTCATAGATGGCAGCACCATTGAAATAAAATGAAATCATTTGTGGAGAATAAATTTAAAAGCCCTCCTCCCCCATAACTTTTTATTTATTACGATACAAATTTTAAAGCAAAATTATGGTGCACAATAATGAATAAAAGAAACTAATAATAAAATTTAATGATTTCTACTCCACTTCAAAATTTAAGTCTTATATTTTGTTGAAATAAATAAATAAAATAATTTTTCAGTAAATAAAATTTGTATTCAATCTTTTAATGGAGCTTATGTATCACTCAATATCTTTTCTTACTAATATTTAGAATTAGAAATAAGTTTTAGTATAAATACATTTTTAATAAACTATTATTACTTATAATTAAAATGTTCCCACATTAAATTTGAATAAATATAAATTTTAAATGTAATTTACGAGGAAATATTTAATTTAGAAATAATAATTAGTATAAATGAATTATAAAAGTGATTTACTTTTCATCAAAATGAACAGCTTCGTTGCTGCAATTAGTGGGTATTTATAACACTTTTATTATTTAGCAGTACCATCTGTTAAGTAGTGAATAATGTTGAAAGCTCAAGAGCAACATTTCTATCTGCTTCCATTTATTTTCGTAGTCTCCGTCGTAATATGAAATGATGTTTTTTGCGATTAATATGCTATCTTAATTGCTGATGCGAGTTTGTAACTGCTACTTATGGACTGACAGGTCACGCTTAGCTTATCTAAAGCCAGTGCTGTCTACGCTTAATTTGAAAATGGCTCAAAACGTCAATATGAAGAAAAGCCACAGTTTTGAGAAAATGAAAAGCATTTGTGGTCCAATTTTTTAATATTAAAAAGCTTAATCCAATTCTGAATTACCTGAGCTCATAAAAATTTGCAAAAACTAAGATTAAAGCAGTGATTTTGATAATTTTCGTCTAAATAGAAAAATGTCGCCAAATAGGCGATTNTTTTTTTTTTTTTTTTTTTTTTTTTTTTTTTTTTTAATTAATAACTTTTGACATATTCTAGTTATTTGTCTGTTCTAAAACCTAGATAATTCTTCTCTCCAATATTATATGTATAACTTAAAATCATCATATTGCTTCAAGTCTAAGGCACCCAAATTATGGCTTTTTTATATTCGGCATTTTCTTTTGTGCTATTTCAAAGCTATGTCGCCTATAGGCGACATAGCTTTGAATCACAGTGTTAATTGATTTTATTGTTCAGTTGTTCTGCGAACACTCGGTATATTTGTTCAACCATTCACTTACATAAAATTTATACTTCCTACTAATTTATTTTTATTTTTTCAGATATTTACAGTAGTCACTCTTATGCTATTTAGTTCCATCTCTGCAGATCCAGAATTATTAGAAAAAACCAAACATGTGCCGGAATTTAAGCCATTCGAATATTTACCATTTCCTCCTTATCCTCTTCTTGGCGACTACAAACCTCCGGCAGTATATGGATACGGCCTTGGATTTCCACCAGGTTTACTAAAACCAGAAATTCTAACAAAGGATTTTAAACCTCCCCTGATATCCCCCTATGAAATGGACAAAGTTTTAGGATATGGTGGCTTTGGAGTGCCATATGGAGGCTACGGATACCCTGTTTTATTTGGTTATTAGTGTCCTATGTAATTGTATAGTTGATATCATATTTTCTTTCATTGTTCAGACTGTTTAGCATTCTGTCTTAATTTGTATTGGATAGCTTCAAATTGGCAAAAAATGCAATTAATCTGTAACAATAAAATGAAGAATTTGAATTTCTATGAATTTGTATTTCTATTAGAGAAACACATAAGAGTGTGTTTTTCTTTTAACATTAGAACTGATTGTGATAAAGAACCGAAACATAAGTACTACCGGTGTATAGGGGCGATTTTAGTCCGCCTTCTCCCAAATGTTTTTAACGCTAATTTTGTTTGGAGTTCAAAAAATAAGGTATTAAATATAATGGGTCAACTTATCTACATAAAACTACAAAAATACAGGACAACGAGCATGTAACGATTTGACCGATATGTTCCTGACAGGCATTATTTGCATTGATGTTATTTTAAGTTAAAGTCATGTTGTCCGGTATTTATTACACTGATGTTTTTTAAGGTTGAGTGTTGTTATTCGGTATTCCTTACAATGGCAATTTTTTCTTCTTCTTTAATCTGAATTCTTTAAAATTCGCTGCAACTTCCAATTAAAAAAATAAACATCATCGTAACTACTGAAGAAAAAAGAATGCATGTATTAACATAAAATAAATGTTAACTGCTAACTCGAAGCTGCGGAATGTTTTTTTAATTGAATTTTGTCATTAGAAAGCTAATATTTTATTTTCGATTTTTCATTGCTGAAATCGAATATAAATTTTGTCTGCAGTATGTCTGTATGCCTATTGTTTGTACATGTACCCGTCCCCCTTCACCACCTGCGAAAAATTTGGAACAATCCCACTCTTGTTGCGAGACAGCTTAGCAGACAAACAAGCACAAGAAAAGCAAGCTGTGTACGTTTTTTTTCTTCTTCTTTTTTACAATTTTGCTAAGCAAAAAAGTGCTCTTTAAAATATAACTACAAACACACAACTATGAAGTTTTTTTTTCTTTAAATCCATTAAGCGGAAATGAATAATAAAAACATAAATTAAAATTATTTAATTTTATCATTATGTACCTTTTAGTTTTGAGCATGGTTATGCAGTCTTAATAAATGCTGATTGATTGATCAAGACATCAAGACATAAATGATTGATTGTTCAAGACATCCACGCAATCTTTCTAATGCCCTTTGTGCAATAATATTAACGAAATAGTTTTAACTTTTAAAAAAAATTTCGTTGGCTTCAGGTAATTTATGTGTAGAAAATGACGTTTTTAAGAGTGTTACAAGGGCGTTGTTTCAAATAGCTTAAAAGAAAAATGCAAATTCGGTGATCTCACGTTATCCCCACGTGATGTGTTGTTCACGTGACGTAAAGAAGATTATGTAGCGTAATGGGATACTTGCAAGTGACGTAGTGTGGGTATCTCGATCCTAATTGGTGGTTGAAACGTGGCAATTTTTCTCGTTAGCAGCTGTTCTTTCCATTTTATTTCGAATAAGCCAAGCCTGTCAAGTATCAATTCTCATAAGTGACACATTCAAAGTTCTTTCACAAAGATCCTTTCTCAAAGATTTCAATTGTTTTCCTATATATTTACACAGTGACCTAACACATAGATAGGCAGAAAGCCCTGTGGAACATAAACTAATTATGCATCGAAGTTACCAGTTACACAAAACAAAAATATATCATGGTTTACATTAAAATACATATACAAATAATAAATCTAAGTCAAAGAAAAGGAGTAGACGAGAGAGATTTATATTTTAACTCATTCGATGTGCGATACGGCTCCGTATTGAATTAACTTATAGTTAATTAGCATTCTAACTTCTGTAGAGAAACTTAACTCAACTTTAATACGCCATTTTGCTGATAAAAAGTATCTGGCGCTGACGTCGTAGGTCACGTGTTTAGGTATGGGAGGTCTCCTTCTTCTAGAAATACGAGTACCCAATTATCGTGCATTGTAACTGCCAGTGAAAATTGTTAATGATTAGAGCTGTAGGTTGTCAGAAATTAGGTATGTTATTCTCTTAAAATTAAAATGCATCGAAACAGCAGTGATCCTATAAAAAACTTCCATGAATATGCCGTTCGAGCAGCTCGCAGTATAATATTTTTATATCGATTGTATAATATACATCTTTACTCACTGTAAATGAAAAAATGTGTGTATTAAAAATAAAAAGATGTCTTACTGGAACAGGCTACTTGTTACTCCAATGCAATAATTTATTCACTCGATAACTTTAAATATATTACAATTATTTTTCATAAAAAATTGTTACACCGGAATAGGATATTTGTAACTCCAAAGTAATAATTTATTTACATTACAACTTTAAATATATTACAATTATTTTCAAAAAAAAATTTGTCTTACTGGAACAGGCTATATTTTGCTCCAATGCAATAATTTATTCACACTACAACTTTAAATTTATTACAATTATTTTTAATGTAAAGTTTTTTCAAGGTAAATATTAGCCCTACGAAAATATTATGATGGATAAAATATTATTTTAATTAAAATTTAAAAATGGAGGTTAAAGAACTATCAAGGCAAAATAATATTTCTACGATTAAGCAATTTATTCTTGAATTATCAATGAAAAATTTGGATTTAAATTTCTATTAAACTGTAGCCTTCCAAAAAATTTTTTTTGTTAAAATAGATATTTATTTACTTTTCCCAGCGATTTTATCCCTTTTTTAGAGTCATATTTAGTTCAGTAATACCCAAGCATATCTACACGGTATTACTCATATCGGATCATTTCGGCAAGATTTTCGTTGTTGGACTTATTTTTTTATTTTTTTCACCTGAAACGGGACAACATTATAAACATCAACAACAATTCAAGCGACATTAGACATAAAAACTTTGGTAACATAAATATATCACATTATACATTTAAAATTTGACATTACAGAAATATCTCATTATATATTTATGGCAATTTGTAGCATGAAAACTTTGGTAGTATAAAATTATCACATTATACATTAGGAAAAAAACTTTGGTAATACAAAATTATCACAGTATTCCTTAAAAACATAAAACTTTGGCAATAAAAAATTATCACAATATATATATATATATTTTAAAAATATATAGACTAAGACAACAAAAAAATAGTTATCGATATATTTCAAAATCATTAACCAGAATTAACAAAGACATAAAATAGATTGTAATCAGATAAATGAATGTGGTATGTGCTATCAAATGCAAAGAAAGTTAAAGTAGGGGAGAGTGGGGTCAATTGTAACAGGGTACTACTGTAACAGAGCAAAAATTTCGAGTGTTGGGTTTTAGATTTGGTTCTTAGGTGGCGCACAAGGTGTATTTAATAAATCTACATGTACACCCCTGCTGGCAACCATTTCTAGGTACTTTTGAAAGAGTTACATCACAAAAGATATTTTCACGCTACGCAAGTAATTTTTTTGGTATTAGAATATTATATTG